AAATCAATAACATAAGACAAGAGTAATCAGTTGACTGAAGTCTTGAAGATTCTCTGTTATGATAATTTCTCTGTTCTTTGCTCCCTGGAAAGAATATGAGCAATTCACCTACTTCAGCCTGTCAAAGAAAAATGCCAGGCATTCTAGTATACCTTTTCAATTTCTCATTATGACTCCATTTGTAGATTCTTAATGACTTTCCTTAGACTATGAAGACTGTTGGCAAAGATGTGAGATTTGTATTGAGACCAGATTTGTAATTAAACAAGAGATCAAGTACTGGGTTCATGGTTTGGTGTAGAATGCTCATTCAGATTCAAATATGAGGTTCCCGAAAACTAAGGAAAGTTGCAAAAAAAACTCCCAAGCATCTTGGCTGTGGCTGAAGTTTTTGCTTTAGATTATAACCAAATGAAAAGCATGTACTTCCATCCAAATTGAGAGGTATTTGAGATTTATATTCTTGCCTACTTACACATGGTCTTTCTTTGTTCTAGCTCATTTCTGTCACCTGTTTTGAGTGCTGCATGCTTTGCTGCTCTTCTAAGATACCTGTTGGTGCTTTCAAGGTATGAGGTTGCATTGACTGTTATGCAGCTGCCTTCTGCACTGGCAAGTGCCATAGTGTAGTCATACACCTGCTGACCCTCTCTGAGAATCCAGCAGATGCCCTCTGGCACCAGTAGGATCTGACTTTGCACACAGCTGTCTCTGGGTTTGCAGTAAATGGTGGCAGGACTGAAAAGAGCAGAACTGATTAGGGCCCTGGGCAACCTCATGCCCATACTCTGTTGAGATTTATTTCTGTAAAGTGTCAATGAGTATTTGACTGGAATTACTGGGGGAAGAACACTATGTGGATTTAGACTTGGGATACTGCAAAACTTTCCTGAGCTTTGCTGAAAAGGCACCTCTGTGTGCATTTTCCAGACACCGCCATCCTCTAACTCTTGGGACAAAGGTAAAATCTGTGTTAGTAAACTTTCTTTAAAAGTGTCACGCAGACTGATAAGTTTCTTTAACAGCAACAGCCATTAAAAAGTCATCTTGAAATGTAATTTAAAAAAGTCTGCAGTGTAGAAATGCATTACCTAGGTTGTCTGTGGGTACCCTCTTTTATGCTGGAGCTGCTGAGTTCCACACTCCAGCCACAGTATTGCTGTGATGCCAGTAAAGCTTTTACAGTTTTATACCTCTTATTCCTGTTGTCCATGGTCCTTTTACCTCACCTCCCTTCAGCTCATCTGTTCTGGTTTCCTTGGCTCCATCAGAGTTCAGAAAGTAAATCAATTAAATTTGTTTCTCTCCTCTGAAATCATGTTTCAAAACTCAGTCTACTTTTGAGGAAGTCAGTATTTCAGTTCTCCAGGATAAGGGCTGCAGCTACCTGAGAACTCCCTACCACTGCTCACCTTTACAGGAGGCAAGACTTGTTCCAGTATTGTCCTGTGGATGAATCTCCACTTTGGAATGGAGACCTCTGAGGACAGGTCAGAAAGCCCACAGGATGCAGCACAATCCTTTGCAGAGGTAGCAGCTCATTTCTGAAAGTAGTACAGTCATGTGTGCTCGCTCTTGTCCCTCAGCTGATGGACTTGCCTCTGTAGCAGAAGCTGAAATCTACTTGGTACAGAGGGAAGAGCTTTCTTAATGCTCTTTGAAGACTGTAGAAAAAAAGATTCACCCTTTTTCTTAGTAATATTGCTGAGTATCCACACTCTCCACTCTGAGTACGAGCAGCACATCTTCAGCCTCCCTTCGCTTTTTCAAAAAGTCAGCACTGTAAATTTAAATTACTCTCCCTACCTGACATAATGGTGACCAGACCCTATAAAACCCAGTACCCGTGGAGACACCTAACCTCCTGTTTGAGCAGGGGGTGGCAGAGAGAATGACCCACTCACGAGAGAAACGAGTCATGCCTGACAGAGTGCTCAGCAGCTGCGGCAATACCACACACCAACAGCACCAGGGACTATGGGATGTCCTGTGTTGCTTTGTCTTGCGACACTGCGTTATACTGAGATCTGTCACTAGATGGTGCCTTCGACAAATGATTGGAAAGATTGATCTTCCCATGCGGAAAGCTTTTGGCCCAAGGCTGACCTTAACAATTCCATTTGCTGTGTAATCCTTTTCATAACTTTTCACAAAGTTGGCCCTTCTGTGCAGGAGTTGAGCTCCGTGCTTCCACAGCTGCTAAAGTGGCCCTTTGAGTCTTTGGCATTTATGCCTGTAGATTTGAGGGATTTTTTTTTTTCTTTTTTTCTGAACACAGATTAAGTTAACAAGTCACTTAGAAAAAAACAAACTTTAATGTCATACTGAGTTTGAGGGGTGCATAGAGGAGGTATGTTAGGAAGTATCTGATAATCCATATTAACCTGCATTTCCCATATCCCATCAATATGGGTAATTAAATGGAACTGAAGACATGCACATATTGGTTTATTTGCTGGAGAATAAATATTGATTTATTGTCCGATGGCCATTTACCTTTGCCATAGGGCAGTGCTCCTAATGAAGCTTTCCTTCCTCTCCCCTATGAGACAGGAAGAGACTCCTGTGTCCAGGGGATTAGTGCGTGCCCATCCCTTCGGGTGTGTGGAAACCCATCTGTATTCAGGATTTGGGGCAGGGTAGTGGGCAACACGGCAAGCAGCACACGCCTTGTTGGGAACTGTTGACACCTTCGCCAATGAACTCAGAAGAAATGTCAGGGTTGGAGGTGTGGGCTGTGGGTGTGCTTTTCGAGCTGATGGTTGCAGACCTATCTGGCAGGAAGGTGCTAGAGCGTGTCGTACTCCTTGGTGAATCTTTCTTTGGGGTGCGGATTGCATTAGGGATCACTAGGTGGTGCTGTTACACATCGATCTCACGGCTTCCCTTGGTATCCGCACGTTTTCAGCCTTTGGAGAAATGGTTCTTGTTACGGTTGGGTTTACGGTAACTCTCTGAAAAGCTGCTGAAATAGAGAAAGGGAGGAAGCAGCAGTAGCTGGCTGGGAGGGAGTGTAGCTTCTTTAAACCCCCGTATATGTGCTTGGGCTGAGGTTTCTGGAGGAAAAAACTGACTGCACACAGGTAGCATGCATCCTCTTACAATGAGAAGTGTGTGTGCTCAAATCCAGTGTCCTTCCTCATTGAAAGCTTCATTTTGAGGGCCCCGGTTTTCTGGTTCCCCTGGATTGACAACAGTATGTCAAGGTACAGCACTATCTTAGTTTACATGAAAAAATTCAGATGAATTTCACGGAAACGGAAATCTTAGTAAGAGGTGTTGCCTTCTAGGGTCATAAGTGGATAAGTAAAATAATGTCAGAAGAGATTAGGAATTTCCTGAATGTGAATTCTTTAGAAAATAAACTAGCTCAGGTTACAATTTGTTTCTAAACTTATTTAGATATCAAATTTAATTTCTGATTGGTTTGAAACTTTTATTTTTGGTATTATTTTAAACAAATATGCCTTGACTGTTTCCATTTATTCATTGATATATTTTAAATTGAAGCAACCACATACATATGAATACATTGTATTGATTTAGGTAGATTCCATATATTCTACGAATGTACACATATATCCTGTCATTTTGTTTTCACACCAGTAGTAACTTTAGGAAATGATTGGGAAACCAGGAAGTGAAACTTACCATTAAAAGAAAGCAGAAACCCAGTCTATCCTTCTCTTAGTGACTAATCCCTGGCAAGCCATCCAGTCTTTTTTTTTTTACCTGTTATATCCCACTCTTTGCCTTGGTCATCTGGTTTAGGCCTTCATCCATCAGATGTTTACTACATACTGAATATGTGACCATGTATTCTAATATTTTTAGGGTAAGATCTTAAACCTTGCCTACAAGGAAAAAATTATAATGAATTAACTATACTGAATTAGAAATTGATTTAGTTAAATCAGTGGAACTCTCCTGAGCACATTATACCACTTCAGTTTAAGTAGTGAGTCGGTGAGTAACAAATCAATTCTGATGTCAGAGAGTGAGAAAGATTAGACTAGATTTTCAGCCCTTCTATCTCAGTATTTATTAGGCTAAGGCGTCTTCAGGGCTTGTTGCTGTTCTCTTTAATTTTCTCTGCCTAATGGACCTGATCCAGCTCTTGATGGCATAAATGGGGGGTTTTCCATGACCTCCAGCTGGGAGCTGGAGATGGCAATATCTTTATTAAAAACCTAAAGAAGCTTAGAATGACAGATAACTCAAACCTGCCTCCTGACTTCATATTGAGTTCACAGATTGTGGCTCGTATTGCAGAACTTGCCTCTGCACTGAAAAATATTCTACATTCAGGGCAGGAAAATTCATCTTCTACTAGCATTGTGCTAAAAGTGTTGCTATGCAAATAGTCATAATCTGATTTGATTTTCTCAACAACAGCTGATAACATATTTTGAGATATAAAAATATTTTTCATCCATCTCCACAGATTTTGTGCATTCAGGTTGGATAGACTTGGGACTTATTTCTAGTTTTATGTCAGCTTAACCAGAAACTAGACTGATGTTGCACTCAAATAAAAAAGCACAGCTTTTTAAAAATGTATTTCAAAAAGTGCTTGCTTTTTTTATTGCCTTTCTCCTTCTCTACCTTTCTTCACACCTCTACAAACTATTAATAATTAAGAAGGATATCTGAGAATGTGCTGAACAAGAATATGGCAAGTTCTACTTACTGAAAATTCTCCTTACTGTTCCCAAAGCGTCTTATTTCTGACTGTAGAGAGTAACAGTTGAACTCTTGGAGTGTCTGCCTATTCCAGGAAGAGTAACTCACTTGTTTACAAACCTAGGATTTTGGTTTAGTGCAAAGTAATCTTTCTCTTTCTAAACTGGATGTTGTAATGCTTAAATTCTGTAACCAACAATGTCCTGGCATGCTCTTACAATTCACCTATAGTCTTCGAACTCTCTGTATTGTAAGTAGTGATGCCCCCTTCCACTTCCATCTCTATTCCAAATGTGATTTTTTTGTGTATTTTATAGGTTTATAATGGAACTTACATCTTTGCCTAAATTCCTTTGGACAAGTGACAACAAGCTTCTGCATCACCATTTTCCGGACATATTGGCTACTGTTCATACCACACAAGACATTCCTGAAGAAGTTGTTTTTGGACCATGCATGCTCCAGAACACCCTGCTGGACACTGTAGCTTTTATTGCTCTCAAGTGTTCTGATAGACGGAACATCCACTATGTATTTAAGGTATGAGAAAACAGTGTTTAATGTCAGTCGTATCAAAAAGAGCTACACCATCTCTGAGAAGGTAACTTTGCAAGGGGTAGGTTTTTTGTTTTGTTCAGTATGAGTAACAGCTCCTTCAGAGGGGAGAAGTAGTCAATGCATTTCTGATTTATGAGCTGTAGATTAGAGGGACCTCAGTGAAAACTGTTTCCTTTGCAGGAAGAATACGAAGTTCCACTTCTAGGCTGACGATTGATGATCTGCTTCAGCACTGGTGTGGACTAGGAGGGGAGAGGGACAAATAGTTTAGAAACCTCACGGTCTGGTTTCATCCTTACACAGGACAAAGGATATTTATCAGGTGTGACAACCCCGTGAGAACAGAGAAGGAAAACTGTGGCATTGCACTGATTCATGCAGGTGGTGGATTCACAGCATTTATTGACAGATCCAAGCAAGTGCTAACACAGTTTGCTCAGTTATCCATAAAAGTGAAATCACCAGGGCAGTTGAGCAACTAGTCCACACAATCTTCAGGCAGCCACAACTCACTGCTGTTAGTACATGGACCTCCTAAAGTTACCTTAGATACATATGTCTGTTTTAGAGCTACACTTCTCAATCACTGTAGAGAAGGCAGAAACCCCAGGATTGTGATGGAGCGTTAACTTTCTAACTTTAATTACCAAAATTTTTTTGTTTCGTAGCCACTGTTTATCATAACATTTTCATTTGAACAATGCATATTTCGTGCTGGCCTGTTACCCTGGCTTTCTGGGTCTTGGAGTGCCTTTCAGTCACCATTGGTCTAGATGAAGATGGAGAGGTAGTGTTTTATGGTGTGAGGAAAGCCAATTTCCCACATTCCATGGCATGGATGGATCTGGGAGAGATCCAGGTTCACTTAAGAGTTCTCTGCTCTGGAGGAGAGAAGTCCCAGTGTGTGTGTATAATATGGAAGATACAGTTGTTGGGATATACCTGTTTTACACTTCTGCTTTAAACAGAGTAAGAAAGAGAGTAAAAGGCTTCAGGGTTTATCTGACTGTTTTGAGTCTGGCACAAGTTTGCTTTCTTGGACAGTGTTATTAGCACTCCAGGAGATCGACGAACTCTTTGGAGAGAAACCTGTCCTGAAATGAGGCTTTATTTATGGAATATGTCAGTATTTCTCCTGGGAGTTTTGAATTACTGTAGACTCAAGAAAGAGCCTCAAAGGGTTTCTACATTGGAAGAGCCCTCTGGAGAGATGGCTTTAGTGTTTTTCTACACTTGAGCTAAGTAATTGCTATGCAGCAATGAAATTGGATGCCTGAGTTGGCTCAGATCTCTGTCTTTTGGCAGTAAATGCATGGAATTCTGTGCAAGTAGCTGTTTTAGATGCAATCGGTAGTCCCATATCCTGTTAACTACTCATAATTAAAAGTAAACCTTCCAGAAATCAGGAACTACTGTTAAGCTCCTAACTCTGTGTAGTCAATTAATTAACAATTCAATCATGATACTTTGTTGTTATCATGGCACTGAAATGCAGAACAAGAAATGGGTTTTGCTCTGCTGGCTATAGTACAAACAGAATACACACAGGAATAATTTGGCAAGAATTTGGGAATATTATTTCTAACAATGGTTCCTCATCTTCGGCTTTTTTGTTTAGACCAAAAGGGAACTCCATAATTTTTCTCTCATCCACTTGGAGACCTTAATTTGAACTCCTTGGCCCAATTTATGCACTTGGGCAAAGCAAATGCCTTGGCAACCCTTGGCACAGGTAGTTCTTTCCAGCTGAGTTCCTCTACCCCTTACAACTTCTTGTGGGTTTTAAGGAAGAGTCATATTCTCTCCCTTCTCCTCCAGTCTCTCCCGAGGAAGCCACGTTGCTTCCATAGCCCAGCTATGATTGAGCCTGTTGGGCTGTGAAGCCCTTTCCTCCTATATGGGTGCAAAGGATTCATCTGAGGGATTGCCATCTCCAGAACAGGGTGGACTTGCTGGGTTTATTATAGTGACTCTAAACACATGGAAAAACTAATGCTGGTGTGTGCTTCTATTTGGCAGCACCCAGATCTTCTGTCTGGTACTCCTCCACACCTTCTTTAGGCTCACTTAGCTCTTTCCCTGGACTCCTGGTTCCTGGAGAAGCTGTGCTCCCTTTGACTTTGCTTAGAGCGCTGGGTGGCTGCTCAGTATTTCTGTAACACAGCAACTAAAATATGACAGCCTCTGTCATAGCTATTAGTTACAACCACTGTGTGTGGGTGTTCTTGTGTCGCTGTCAGACACTTGTATTTCTCAATCATTGTTAATTACTGTGGCATTTAGAGAGAACCAGTTACAGGCCATTCTAATTTATTTTCTCCCTTATACTAATTAACTCTCATCCTAATGGTCCCTTAATGTTTCATTCTTGTATCCAAGCTACTAATGTGATCGTACTTTTCATGGTAGGGAATAGTCAGTTAAAACTAGAGAAATAATTAGCCAAAATACTGTTTTTGATACCAAACACCAGTGAGTGGCTGCCCTGCAATTAGTGGAAAACAAAGAGCTATACATTGCTTGGGGTGAAATTTAGATCATACTTGTCATTAGACATTTTTCATTTTCAAACTTTTTCCTTTCTAAACAATGACTTAATGCTTCAAAAATTAGTTGAGGCTTTTTATGCATGTAAATGCTGCCCTTGACCGCCCTGTGTTTCAGCCTTCAAGCTATGAAAATCTTCCCCATCTTTCAAATACTGCAGAGGGCATAGATCTGCTGTGGTAAACAGCAAGGAAAAACCTATAAAGAAATAAATCAGTCCCTATTCAGTGTAATAAACTAAGATGGGAGTCACACTGAAAGAGGAAGACCAAGCCAAATGTTTTGTAGTTATATTATGTCCAGAGCATAGTCAGCCTGTGACTAAATGACTCAGGAGTCCTGTGGATAAAGGTTTATATGTGACTGAGGACTACACTTTAATATACACACGGAAGAGAACTTTAAATAGCAGACTTAATATTATTTTTTAGACTTTTTAGTGCCTGACCTTACAACCTAAGAAATTATTTAATGAAGAATACTGATCTGATGAGGTTTTATCTGTTTAGATACCTTGAAATGAATTTAATTATTTATCAAAGGTAAGAATAGGAATATCTAATTTTGTTTCTTAAAAAGGAAAGAGATCATATAAGTGCTTCTTGGTTATATTTAATAAAATCTATGTTTTATGTAATCTAGCCAAACAGATATGCAGATGTTATCTACTTGGGATGTTGAATCAAATAACCGAGGGTTATTCTTATACCTCCTGATCCATATCCTCTTATGTCAGTGAAAAACTCCACATGCACCTGCCAAGAGTGTGTGTTCATTTCCAGTCTCTCACTGCATTGATCCAGGGGTCTGCACATCTCTCATCCCCCCAGGCCACAGCACCCTGACTGGTATCCCATTTTCCCATGAGACTGAGACCCCTTCTTACAGAGGATCACACCTTCTGTACCTCTGTGATCCACACCTGGCACTGTCTCATGAGATAACCTGCAAAGGACAGAGAACATCATCCTTGCCATGAGTGGGCCAGAGACTGACCAACATACCATGGCATTGCCATGAGATGTTGCACATGAACATTGGTGTCTCCTTCTCTTTCCCATGCAGCTGTATTCCCAGAGTTCTTAGCATTCACATAGGGGAAGCCTTTTCCCTATGATGACTTTGGATTTGCTGACATGGGTGTGTGTATCGGGCTCACAGCTTTGTCATATTTGCTCAATATAAGGCAGAAAACAGGCTTTGTTCTTGAATGTGATGGAAATCTTACTCTGACTCTCAAGACCTGTAACTTCCCTTTTATGTGTCCTGTCTCACAGGTAGACGTTACGTCTGTGCACAGTCCCACAGGACTGCCTTGGATGAGACTTGTACAAGCAGCTGCCAATAGCAAGGAGCAGAACTTGGAAGCTTACTTAGAAAACAGCCAGTTATATTATCGCTCCACCAGGAAAATCAATAAAAACGAGGAATTGCTTGTCTGGTATGATGAGGAGCTTTCCAGCCTCTTGGGTTTCAATGAGATAAAACCTCAGAGTCCCCAGAATGGTAAGTACCAAGTTGCTGACTGCAGGGATCACTGAGGGCAGAAAGTGAATCTACAACTTCTTTAGTATGCAGTTGTTTTGTAATAAGTGAAATAAAACCTGTCTAAATCCTTAGCTGGTCAGCTAAGAGAAGAGACCTTCTGCTTTGGGGATTGAACTGGAGGCATAGTGCAAGAACAAATTTGCAGTTCTCAATGCCATTTTCATTCTGCTTTCTAGCAGAGGATGGTGCACTAGGGATTCATGCAGAAATTTTTGAGCTATGTAATGGAAACCAGTGCACCTGACTAACTTGGAATCCTAAAAGTCTAAATTATCGATTGGAAATATGCCTTTTTTAGCTCATTGAGGAATCAGGTATAGGCCAGTGTTCAGCTTTAATCTTCTAAATGACCAGGGCTATAAAAATACATAATAAACCCAACAGTACTGCATACAGCAGTCTGCCTATTTGGTGTGGGATACAGTGGGAAGGAGGAAAAGGGCTTGAGTTTGTTTCTAAGATGTTGGTGAAAATTCGTTGCTCCAAAAGAAGTTGACCTGGCAGTTGTTGAAAAAATAAACATCTACATTACGTAGACACCAAGAAAATCAGTCAGGTCCATGCCAAGTCTGACTACAGCTATCATTTGCTCCAAACTTTATCTAGTTAGATTGGAACAAAACCCTTTCTACATTCCCTGTAGTTGATTTGTAGAGGTTGGTTAGTAATGTGTAGGCTGGTAAAGGTATGAATTGGCAAATTTATATGATAATGTGCTTTTCTGTAAATTAATATTAAATTAATACAGACACATTCATAGCAGGAACTCACTAAATAATTCTAGCTGGTTTTAGTGTATTCTGTTAGCTTCTGCATAGACACACACTGTCAGCCCTTTGGATTCACCAGGGAAAAGTGTTATCTGCACAAGAAACTTTAAACTAGCAGATGTAATGTTCCACCCAATACAGCAGCCTTATTTTCTTACAGAAAGTTCAGTTTCTGTAATTTGGAAAGTGATCTGAGCTACGCTGAGCCCAAAATTAGGAATTTGTGGTACTACCTAACCAATCTATGAACTTTCCTATGTAGCCGAGGCCTCAGGTGCTGTCTGGCATCATTTGCATTTAAAAATTGCTGTGTGTTGTGAAATAACATAGCATGGATATAGTTTGCAAAGGTTAAGTTGTACCGTATGTGTCTTGGTTGCTGAATTATGTATCATCTGTTCATGGCAATCAATCCTCCCAGTGAACCCGAGATGCAGTAGGTCTGAAGGTCAGAAGGAAACAGTGTTCCCCATTCCTCCTGCACATCACTGGCATTGTTTCACTTTGAACATTATTTTCTGTGCCACAGACGGCTGTACCTTAAGGCATATAACAGCTTGCCAAATGAGCATGAGTAAAGGCTTTAGGCTAAGGTCAGATGATTTGTGAATGGTATTAAACTTCCAGAATATCCTAAAAATAGAGGCTCGTGTCAAAATCTTTGAATCCAGGTCTAAAACACATTATTGCTTGGATATACAGAGTTTAACATTCGTCCTGTATTAAAGCCAATGACTTAGTTTAGAAATGTAGACCCAAATCTGGGTTCAGACTTCAAATCATCATAAAGTCTATATGATTTTATCCAGGTCACTGTGTACTGGCCATTTTATTTAATTTTATGTAATATAATTACATTTTATGTAATACAGTCTTGGCTTGAGAGTCTAAATGAAAGCATTTCTGCAAGTAGCACATGAAGGCAAATAAGAGGGAACCATTTTGTATAGCAGAAAGGGACCTGATTCTGCACTGGCATTAACTTTACCATGTGTTATCTTGTATGACACAAGGGGTGTTTCTGATTTTTTTGTTTGTGTCAATGACAGGGTCGGTATCTGCATCCATCCACGATTCTGCCTTTGCAAAACTCATCATTTGTTGTCTGTTTCTGCAGAGTTGAGATGCCAAGAATGCGACCGAGTCTTTAAATGTGAGCATTCCTACCTATCCCATGTCCGTTTCCTCTGTGTCCCAGAGAAGAGTGCCCTGCTGTGGAGAAACTTCCAGAACCCTAAGACTGAAAAGAGCAACTTAGCTGAGCAGACCACAAATTTCCACAGTCTGGCAAGGGATCTAGAAGTCAAAATGGCAGCTTGTAAAGATGATGCACATGGTCTTGTTGGAGAAAGGAGAGCAAAATCTGAAGAGGCTGAGAACAACAGGAGCAGGAAAACAGTGTTGTTGGAGAAAACCAATAATTTGACTGAGGAACGTAACTGTGGGGGCAAGGAAGAGGTTGGAGGAGAGCATGCATTGGCTGGTTCTTTCTGGAAGCTTAGTTCAGGGAGGCAGTCAGCTAGGAAGGATGTTTTAGAGCAGAAGCAGAGTGCTTTCACTGAGGTCAGGAGGATGAAGGAGAAGCTGAGGCATGAGAAACTGAAGGAGCCAGAGCAGGAGGATGGCACGGTCCCAGGTGGTAAAGAGCAGGTATCAAAGGAAGTGTTGGTGAACTCCTCTGGTAGTGCATTCTCCTTTGTTTGGCCCACCAGAGCTCGAGGAGAACAGAAAAGTGCTTTCAGCAAACCCAGTAAGCGTCTAACAGAAAGAGCTGCAATAAATTCTTCTCATCCCGTGAGTGAGTCAGCAAAGAGCCTGGGGGAGCTGTCTGGCTTCATTGCCACCACAGACATCATGTGCTGCAGCACTCTTCTCAATTCCAAGTTCTTTGTCAGTGATTTGTGTAATGCTCAGATGCTGCAGGCAAGCATCACTCGGAGCAATGTTTTCCCATATACCTCAGAACCGTGGCCCAAACAAGCAGGAGGACAGTTACAAAACACAACCACCACTTCTTCTTCCTCCTCCTCCTCTTCCTTGACTCTTCTTCCCCCCACCTTCACATCCTTTGGAGTGGCTGCCCAGAACTGGTGTGCCAAATGCAACCTGTCCTTTCGCATGACATCCGATTTAGTCTTCCACATGCGGTCACATCACAAAAAAGAATACTCCTCAACTGAATCCCAGTGCAAGAGGAGACGAGAGGAGAAGCTAACATGTCCCATTTGTCATGAGTACTTCCGAGAACGCCATCATTTATCCCGACACATGACTTCTCATAATTAGAGCTGTGCAGACAGATGTCACCAAGGGACTGGGCAGGTTGTATAAAGAAGGGAATCATTGTTCACTTATATACTTTTTGGGTTTACATTAATTTCTTACAGGAAATCACTGTTTACAATAATTTATAATAGATGCTTTGCAAAAAAATTATAAAATGTTTACAAGAATATGAGTGGCTTGTAAGTTTTGAAAACTCAACCTAGCCCTTGTCAACTTATTTTTGAGGAAATAAAATAGTGAAATGAATGTGCATGCAGTGTTACTTTGCAGAGTAGGGAACAAAATTATAGTTTTGCAGACACAGTTTTCTTTGCTTATATTTGATTTGCTGGTGTCTGTGTAGTACAATGTAGTAACAACCACCTAATTGAATGAGGAACCTTTGAGCACTAAAAAAATCAGAGCTTATATGCTAAGAGAAATTACTATTTCTAGCAGTGTTGGTGGACTCTTACTCCTTTATGTTAGCTGAATCAGCTCTCTTACCATATTTGTGAGCTAAAAACTTATATCTCCCTATCTCCTTGGCTTTGAAAGGAACCTGAAGTTAAGACTGTCTGAAATCTGTGATCGTCAACAACTGACCAGCAGACTGCCAAAGAGGATGTGACTTATAAAGCAGCATATCTGAGTTCTGTTCTAGGCTCTGCTGCTTTTGAAATATCTTTTACAAAGTCAAATCAGCCTGGATCTGTATTATAATGTGACCTGTTGTCAACATTATTGTGTAGACAGACAGGAAGCAAAAATTCTACCCTGAGATGTGCTTGCAAGGTCTGTGTGACTTTAGCAGGCATACAGATCTGATGGGGGTAGAGTTTAGCCTGTGGTTTTCAGGTTTTGGATATACCAAAGGAAGCAACTAGGGTATTTGAGTTACAATTAGATACTGATAGATAGAATCTGCACACTAATGGTGGATGATAGGCTCTGTTTTGCTAACAGGTAGAATATGAATGGCCTTCACAAAATGACGCAGGCATACATGAATTTTATTGCATTAGATGAGCTTGTCTATCCTCTGGTTTATATGTGGGCCAACTCCAGCTTTTTTAAAAAGAAAGTGCCAAATTCTTTCTATTGCCTCTCCATGAGATTTGAGCTTTGCTGAGTTTCAGAAGCAGATGAGTTTATACTGCCCTGGGTGGGAAGAAGCATTGTCTATTGTTACTGCAGCCCAGCTAATTAGCCTTTCATTACTTTTTAAATCCATTTAGGGGCTTGCTCTTGATAGCTTATGACAATGTGTTCCTGAAGCAATAATTTCTCTCTCTCTTGCATAGAATTTTTTCAGGTTGTCTGGTGTTTTTGTGGCCTGTCTCTGAGCCTCATCTGGTTCATCAAGGGCTATTACTCGCTTCCAGACAATGATCAGAAACCACTCATTTTCCAGCTAAGACTAAAGGACATTGCAATATTCTCTTTATGTTCCACCATACTGATGATGTACTCCAGTGTTTGTCTGCTGCACACTGGACAGAATTTTGAGTTCCCATGACAATGCCTAGTCTGATAATGCAAGTGTCAGCACATAAACACATCTGAGCAATAAAAGAGAGCCTGAGAGTCTTAGGCTGTCAGTTGGAACCAACATATTACACTCATTGTCACCTCTTGGGAGATTTCTGTAAGTCATGAGATTGTATTCTTCCCAATGCTTTGCTGTTGAACATTAATACATGGTTGTTTCCTGTTGATGTAAACATTTGACTTATTGCAGGCCAACATTTTTGCAACATAAAGAGATAAAAGTGTTACATTATGCCTTTGAGTTGGATTATAACACAGCTTTCCAAGGTCAGTGGTGGAATCTCTTTCACTGGAGTCATTAAAAACCAAAACAAACAAAGACTTTGAAACATGGAGCACAGGGAACAACCTTGCATTGAGTAGGGGGGGGGGATGATGTGGTTTCCTCTTAATCTTTCCATCTCTACTTTGTGTCCAATAACATTTACTGTGTAAGGAATGTATTTATGGCAAGGTTTAATGGACCAAATTTCACTCCATCTGGTTTTACCTGAGTGCCAACCACTTTACTGTGAAGTCAGTGTCCATAAAGTGTAATGAAGGACTCCATGGTGTAACTGCATGGTGTAATCTGTGGTCAGGGCTATATTTCCCATTAGTAGTTTAGGCCAGATTGTGATCTCATTTATTCCAGTGTAAATCCAGAATAAGTCCATGTTGCTACTTCTGATTTACATTAATTATTTAAGATCAGACCGGTCCAGTATAAATAAGACTAAAGATTTTTTGGTACCATTGCTGCAAAATGTTCTCCTCTGTACTTACTGAAAGATGCCATGTTTTCTTGACAGTTTAATGGTTAGAAACCTAGCTTCAGATTTCTTCTGGAAAAAGATGGGTCCAGCTGTATAGTGCTCCCCAGTATTATTTTGGCGCATCACTTCAATATTACCCTGCTCCAAGGGCCTGTTTTTCCAGTGTATTACACCTGGTGTATTATTTACATCAGAATGAAGCACTACCAAATGTAACTGGTTACATGGTTTCACTGATTTTGTGTTGGTACAGCTGATCTGGAGAAAGTGTGGAAAATCAACCACTGATAAACAGCTGCTAAATCTCAAAACCTTCTGATGGTGTGTTAGACCTACCTCCTTAGAGTGCTCAACAGTAATCAAAATTCTTCGCTCTGCTTATGGTATGAGGCTTAAGCAAGCAGCAAGGTTACGGGGAGAGATATAGCTTTCCTTTATGTCACTGATTTGTTTTCTCTAGGAAAAAAAAAGTGTAAGAACTCTTTCCAGTGTCCTTGTGGGCATATCTCAGCCACAGCAACTTACATACTGTGATGACAAGCAATCTATGAATGCCTTCTGTGCACAGAAAGGCAAGGGAACCAGTTAGGAAAAATGGCAGAGCTGATTCAAAAGGTAAAAATGAAGAGGAGAGGTTTTTAATCAGCTTTATTTCTGGTACTTTGCTCACCTCCTCCAGTGGCAGCAGCAGTGCAGTTTGGTCCTGGCATGTAAAGATTGAGGGTTTTCCTCTTGTAACATGGGAATCACACTGTAGGCAACTGTGTGCAATATTACCCTTGTTCCTTTGGAGGTGGCCATTGGCATAAAAATTGAGTGAACAGATTGCTTCTTATTCTGGGCAGAAGTGCTTTGTGGACTAAGACTTATTTACCACACACAACTAACCAATATGACATCTTGTTGCCTGCTGCATCTGTGCTGATATCAGGGCAAACCCACATAGATGCCAACAGAAGCAGAACTTGCTACGTGTTAAATGAGCTCGTGTGTAAAGCTCCTTGTGCAGGCATGGTGAATGTCTTTTATGTGTCTCAAGTTTAACTGAGTGTCTCATCTAAGCTGGGTTACATAAGCCAGGGGGCTTGTCCAAAATTTTTGCAGATTTTATGTCTTTAAATGAAAATATTCATATTAAAGCTGAGTGAACCAAGTATTGCACAGGCAGAGGGAAGCCTAACGAGACAAAGAAAAACAAACTTCCTATAATTGAGTCATGCTGGAAGCTTATTTCCCCTTATGTCTAGAAGTCTGAAAATTTAAATTGGTGCAGATGAAATCCTGCTGGAAGGAAAGGACTCCACTAGAGCAGGCGGTTTGTGAAGAAATGAAGGGACTTAAGGAATTCATGAAGGGCTGCATTCTATCCCGGTGAAGTACTGTGACCTTACAGCAGAGATCTCTGTCTTTTCTACAAGTAGAAACGCTAGGGAAAAAAAAAGGATTTTGTTTTTAAAACAGGAGGAGACAAGCTGACTGTTTCTTTTCCTGTCTTTGCTAGCAACTGCCTGTTCATTTTGATCAAACCACTGTTTCTCATGACATCTGTTTCTGGATCAGTGAAAAAGGACACAACACAGTGTTGTCAAGCTTAGCTGTGCAGGGTGTTTTTCTGCAGTGGGTAGTGAATTTGCCAATAGGAAATGCCACATTAGGATATTTGTTCACTTATCGATCATTGATCCTCAAACTTCTTCCAATGAAGATGTGTTTCTCCATCAAAATGGCACTCAGATACGCCTTTGAAAAATACATATTTACTTGCTTTTTAGGGGTAATTTTTCACTAATCAGTGCAGTCTTTGGGCTCCCTTTGGTCTACAGAGCACAGTTCAGAAATCACTGGACTAAGGCAACACAGAAAAAAAAAAGGAAAAGCTGGCTGTCATTCTTTGGTTAAAGTTCTATGAATGCTAAAAGGAGAAAGATGATACTGCTAGGTGGTCTGATACACCAGCTCCTTTCTTCCTGCCTTTAAAAGGAACATGATTAGGATTAAAATTCAGGAAGTTATTCTAGGTCGGATGGTAAGGAAATGGTGCTATAAACTGTTGAATGCCCGTGTCAGCTCTTGAACTAGATGAGAGAAAAGTGGCAGGTTCAGCATGTTTCCTGTTCTGTTGTGGAGGGGCACTTACCAAATTGCTTGTCCCTCCCTAAAAACCTTCCGTCTAACTTTCTCATTTAAGCCACAAATGATGGATTTTCCATACTAATTTTCACTTGTAGTTTTGTGATACTCAAATCTTTCAATGCAGTGTGATTTTCTACACAATTACTGTCTGTAGTTTTGTGAGGTCTAAGTTCATTGAGATGGGAATAACTATGACGTAGCACTTTGTGAAGACAGGAAAAAATGTTTTTTTTACACACTGACCTTTGTTAAGGCAGTTTCAATATTAATTAGCCAGTATATGACCTACGAAATAATAAATAATATTTTGTCAAGTAATAAAATTTCTCAAGGTTGCACATTAATCTTTCAGTGAAATCAATCACTTCAGTGAGCTACCAGCACTACTGATTTGAAATGAACTCACCAGGAAATGCATCTTCATTGTTTGTTTTCCCAACTGGATTCCAATTTCTGGGCATATTTATTATTCATAAGTATGTATCATATTACTACAGGAAGAAAGTTTTGCTATTTGTGCCCATATGGTATAACTTTTTGTCCTTGAATGGATGGCTAAAGTCTTTAAGTATTGGGTTTAACAGTTAATATTGTTTGTACATGACAGCACAACTGTTTAATTTTAGGAAAACAAAGCAGTATATCTGGATCATTTAGACATTAAAGAGGCTTAAAAGACATTAGAAGAAACATTAGTATTCTTTACTCATCGACTACTCTGTTTTTTTCCATATTAAGAATATTTAATATTCTTCATACATGTATCACTTTACACCAAATTCTGTATGAGTTTTAATTAAGTAAAATATTTTCCACAACACTGAGAAGTTCAACAACAAGCTAGTGCATAAAAATCAGAACATGAAAATGAGTCAAAAGAGTCCAGGTTAGTGATCAC